ATTCGGACGCCACTGGAGCCATATACACTTTTACATTTCGAGTGAAAACTCGCTTCTTTAGAGCTGCTTAGTGTGGTTTGTTTGTTGTCCTCCACCCGCGCATCTCCGATTAGCGCTGATGGTTGCGTAGCGTGCGAAAGGAGTTCAATAGACAGAACATACATAAAGCGAATAGGTTTTCCTCTTTCGTCTGGTACCAAAACAGTTGTGTTAAGATGTTAAAACACCAAACTGAAACCTTTTACGAGGAATCATGTCTGCATTAACCACAATGCTTGTGGTCAGAATGCAAATAAAAAACATACTCTCATAATGTATGCATTGTCTTTGAAACTGATTGGTCCACACCAGAGACAGCTTTCTTTTGAGCCTGGGGACGCCTTTACTGTAGGTCTAATATAATTCCTTGTAAAAGGTTTCAGTTTGGTGTCTTAACATCTCAACACTTGTTTTGTTGCCCGCAAAAAAGGGACAACCTATTCTCATACTTTGGTCCTGGCAAAGGAGGTCCCATGATGCATAAAGCGATTAAATCAGCTCGTGTGCAGGACCACGAGAGATGGTAACGACTTCATCCAGCAGTGGATTGGTCATGGCTGATGATGATGACCCTCCCCCCCAGTTGATCATACGTACTGAACCAACTCAGATCGATTAATTCCTCACGATTCGAGGGTCTCGCGTTACCGTCTCATTCGTATCGTTGGTTTTGTTTCTTGTCTTGTTTATACAGCTACGTTCGTGTAATATATGTAATTATCAGACTTGTAACTGCCACCCCTGGAAATGTGTACACGGGCCGCCCAATATCACCGTCTGGCACACAGTCTGCCCCAAATGGGACGCCGTGGCGGATGATGCACATGTGATGGCAGATGCCGTCCATCAGAAAGCTGACTTTAGGTCGATCTGCGCGAGCGGCCCGGGCCGGTCCCTTACTTTAAAGCGTAAAGTTAGAGTCCGTGGACTTAAAGGCGACAGTCCGAGCGGCGTGCGTGAGTTGTACCTGACAGCAAGCGCTCTTGGGTAAACTAAACTTTGTATTAACCAGGTAAGGCCCACTGAGCTATATAGCTCTTTTTTTCAGAAGCGACCTTGCTATCACAAAGTGGCTTATCACGTGGACATTCATAGCAGCCAAATACTCTAAACGCGTGTTTCTAAATGCGGAGGCAGACACCAGAGGACCCGGAGAAAAAAAATCCACGCGACCACGGGGAGAGAGAGAGAAATGCGATCTCCAAATATACAGCAGGCGTCGGGGTCGGGATCGAAGCGCAGTGGCGTAGCTAGGATATTTTGCGCCCGGGTACGAACTATAAAATTGGCGCCCCCCCCCCCGTTTAATCACATACCAAAATATAATTACATGACATGTAGGCTGTGTGTGGCGGGATATATAAACTTTTAGGTTGAGGTGTAGATTTGTGCAGTAGTTTCAGGCTGCCGCGCCCGCCGCAATAAGTTATAATGTAACGTCGTAAGCCTCATTTTGGCGCCCCTTTACCTTGGCGCCCGGGGACATATGTACCCCCCTGCCCCCCCCCCCCCTAGCTACGCCTCTGTCAAAGCGACTGCCTCCCGTATACCAGGCGAGGTCGTTAACATCTCCTAGCCACAGTGGCGCCCGTGGCGACTGCTGCTGTGTTGGCATCGGAGCACAAACACGCCCGGTGATTGTCGAGCGCATCGTGTTGGATAGATGATTACCATGGTGAATTGAAGGATTCTGGACTACGGCTTTCGGTCGAGGGCAGGGGTAGGCGCTCTGCTGCCCCGCAGCCGCGCGTGGCTCTTTAAGGACTGCTCCCTGACGTCTTGTTGTTTTGGTTGCCCTGATCCCTGATGTAAAGACTAGCGCCTCCAGTCTACAGTCCACACATACTCTTAGTTCTTTCGGTCAAATCACGTAGGTAAAAAAATGAAATTAAAATTAATAAAAATAAAATAATAAAATCACGACGTTTCGGAGGCAACACAAGTCTCCGTCATCAGGTGGGACCGTCACAGCCAGATTTGCTGCACGGTCCCACCTGATGACGGAGACTTGTGTTGCCTCCGAAACGTCGTGAGTTTATTATTTTATTTTTATTAATTTTAATTTCATTTTTTTACCTACCTGACTTTACCGAAAGAGCTAAGAGTATGAATCCTTGCAGTCACGAAAGCTTCAAATCTAGAATTGCAGTCCATACAGCCTACAGTCCGTTATCCATGCAGTCTCCGGCCCATGGTCCACATATTCACCAGCCAGTCGACATCCTACACTCGCTGGAGATGCCCCGAGTCAACAGTTGTCATACGCGTGTTTAATTTCAATCACACACGGATACGTGCACACGCAAAGACAAAGACTCCCGTATAGCCTCAATAGACTGTTCGGGCAAGTGCTGTTAGCGAGCACCTGTAACAGCCTGCACGGCAACACGAAGGGGGTGGGTAGCCAACAACCACGCCAATGCTGATGTTTACACACACACACACCGGATACTCGTGTAAATAATCGTCGCTGGTGTTGGCCGTGAGCGGGAATCGAACTCGGGTGCGCCGGCTCCGTAGCTCAGCTGTGCACTAACCGTTCCGCTGCAGCTCTCACCGTGCGTAGCGCGACCGTGCCCATCGGAGGTGCGTGGGGGGGGGGGGGAATGGACAACAAACTAAACACGGCAATCATCTTCCTGAAAAAGAACGACATAGCCTCGTAGACCTTACCCCGTAACACAAAATATATAAGCATGGATCTTGATTTGAAGCGTTCGTGACTGCAGGAACCCATACTCGTTGGTTCTTTCGGTAAAGTCGCGTTGGTAGAATTTTTTTTAAATAAAACACAAAAATAATATATCACGACGTTTCGATCGCAACACAAGCGGTCGTCCTCAGGCGGACATCGTAATGCTGAAGCAGCCTTGCTGGAGGAGGAGGAGCAGGGAAGACGCTGTTGGCCGGCGTGCTAGTGAAAGCCATCGTCACGCACGCGTGCACAGAGGCGTTACGGGGTAGGGGGGCCGCCTCTGCGAGGGCCCCCCACCCAGCCCAGCCCACCCCACCCCCGTAACACTGCCGCACCTCCGATTAGCACCCCCCCCCCTCTGCCCCCCCCCCCCACCTCTCTCTCTATTTCAGGCCTCGACACAAAAGCGTTGTCTTTCTGTGTGCCTCTGTGTGTGTCACTCTCTGTGTGTTTGTCTGTGTGTCTCCGTGTCTGTGTTTTGTCTCTCTCTCTCAAATTTAGCAATCTTTGTAAGAACGTAATCAACCAGGTGGGGTGTTTACTGTTGTGCTGGCCGACTCTCTGTGCTGTATTGCATTATATTTCCAAGTTTACTATGTTTGTTTTCTCATTCGTTTCTACCTGATGATGGTTGCTTGTGCTGCAATCGAAACATCGTATTCTATTATTTAATTTAATGTCTTTCTACGTGACTTTACCGAAAGAACCAAAGAGTACACATATGCTCTGTGTGTATAAAAAAATATGCTGTGGATATATGCACCTATAGGGAAGAGTGATTGTAAAGCAGGAAAGGCGATTCATATTGAGAATCGTTATTCATACTGGGGGAATCCGATGGACTATAAAGCTCCATTAGGGGCACGGGGTCAGAAAGTTACAACAACATAGAATAAACAAAAAACTCTACAGGAGTGCAAACTCTAGGAAATGTGAAGGGTGACATCAGACAAAGAAGACTATGTGAAGCCCTTTGAGCTATCAGCTTCCTTCTCACAAGCGACCTGGCCACAAATTATCGCTCAACGAAGTGGCTTGTCACGTGGCAATGCATCGCAGCCGAATAATCGACACGTGTTGCAAATAAACACACTCGTATTTTAACAATAAACATTCAAACACTCGCGAATCAATGATTTCCCCCGTTTGGGTTGACTGAATGGACTGTTAAGAGTCTCTTACTAAGGCGGGTAATGGTGCACGAGGCGGCGATGTTGTTAGAACCGCGCCCGACCGCCTTTGTCTTCCCGTATTGGTATTTACAAACTGCACTAGGTTCTCGGTTAACGCCGAGTCGAACTATTGCGTAGACCCAGGCAGCATTACCGCCTGCCAATTGATGCGCAAAAGCATACGCGTATACAGGCATACACACACTTTCAACGCCACACACACTGAACATCACACGCACACACAGTCAGGCACACAAATAAATCAACACACGCAACATATACTCTGCACACAGAGACAAATATGTCCCCGTATAGCCTTAGCGGACTTGGGGCAAGTGCCGTTAGCGAGCACCTATGAATATCGATAATGATGCTGCTGATGATGATGATGGTGATGACTATAAGATAGGTCTTTGGGTTAGATCGCATAAATACGAATATGTCGTTAAACCCGCAAATGAGTAAGGTTTGTTACGTAAACAAAACATTCCAATTGGTTACTAGTACAGCACACCGGCGTGTTGGAGAGTAGACCCGCAACGTGACGTTTCGCCGGTAATTGCAACCAGCATCATCAGGCGACGGCCAGGGTTGTGGAGAAAATCCTCCTGCTGCGATCTTAAATCTAGGGGGTAAATGTCGTGTCGTCGCTTGCGAGCGAATCAGGAGCGACGACCGTGAAGGGGGCGGGGGGGGGGTTAATGTAATGATATATATTCTTTGGTTCTTTCGGTGAAGTCACGTAGGTAGAAATAAAATCAAATAAAACAAATCCCCACGTTTCGATCGCAACACAAGCGAACTTCATCAGGTGGGACAACCACAGCAAGAAAATGCTGAAGTCTTGGTTGTTCCACCCGATGAAGTTCCTGCTTGTGTTGCGATCGAGACCGTCGTGATTTGTTTCATTTCATTTTATTTCTACCCACGTGACTTTGCCTAAAGAAGCAACGAGTATGGATCCCTGCAGTCACGATAGCTTCAAATCAAGATTGTAATAATATGAATAAAAAATAATGTATTTAATATGAATGTATAATATTGGTCGCCAAAGCCTGCGTAATGACTACCCCCCCCCCACACCACTTGCGAAGGCGGTGAGTGACTACATGCGCGTGGAGTGCAAATGCCACGGCCTGTCGGGCTCGTGCGCCCTCCGCACGTGCTGGAAGAAGATGCCCCCGTTCCGGGAGGTGGGCGACCGCCTCAAGGATCGCTTCGACGGCGCCTTCAAGGTGATGGGCAGCAACGACGGCAAGACCCTGCTGCCCGTGGGTCACAACATCAAGCCGCCAGGTAGCCACGACCTCATCTACTCGGCCGAGTCGCCCGACTTCTGCTCGGCGAACCGCAAGACCGGCTCGCTGGGCACTCGCGGACGGACGTGCAACAGCACGGCGCTCGATATGAGCGGCTGCGACCTCCTGTGCTGCGGCAGAGGCGCCCGCCAGGAGACCCTCACCTTCCAGGAGAATTGTCAGTGCCGCTTCCAGTGGTGCTGCGTGGTGCACTGCAAGAAGTGCACGGTGCAGAGGGAGCTCAGCATCTGCCAGTGACGAACGCTGTTGGTGGATTATGACGAGGGGTTGATGACGGACGGACGGTCGGTGATGATGATGATGATGGTTCTCATGGTGCAGAGCGTGAAGTATTTGGCAGTGACGGTGATTCATGAGGGTGGTGTTGGTGATGACGAGGATCGAGATGATTGTTGCTGATAGTGGTAATGTGGATGACGGTGAAATAAGAGCTGAGCATCTGCCACTGATGATGATGGTGGTGGTGATGACGGCCGTGATGGTGATCATAATGAGCGTGGTGATCATCGTCATGATGATGACGGTGGTGGTGATTTGCACAGAGGAAGCTCAGCATCTCTCAGCAACTCCTCTGCTGCTGCTGATGATGGTGATGGTGATGATGATGGAGATCGAGGCAGTGGTGGTGGTGATGGCGATATATTTTTTTGCGCATGCACGGCCGACGTATCCACACACGCACACAAAGACAAAGACAAAGACAAAGATCCCCCGTATAGCCTCAACATACTGTAGGGGCAAGTGCTGTGAGCGAGCACCTATGAAGGCCGGAACGGCACACGAGGTGCTGGGTGGCCAGTACCACGCCCGACCGCCTTTGTCTCCCCAGTGGCGATGTTTACACACCGCACCGGGTACTCATTTGAGGCTGAGTCGACCTAGCGGAGGCCCCGGACCGGTTCAGATAATCGTCACTGGTGTTGGCCGAGAGCGGGAATCGAACCTGGGTCGCCGGGTTTATAGCGTAGCGCGTTAACCGCTTGCACACACACGCACACACACGCGCACACACGCACACACGATGAACGACGATGGTCCTTCGAATGGATCGTTTTCCTTTAGTCGTGGTCCCGTGTTCTTCCGATCGTCTTGCGAATGATCGGGCCAACCCCGCACGGCCTCGGAACGCCTCCCTCGCAGAAGAAGGGGAACGGATTCAACAACGGCGAAGAGCACCCCCGCCGCCACCACCACCACCACTACCGACACGATCGTCGTGGAGCAGTTACTCTTACTGAGATGTTGTCTTTTGACTAACGTATATATATATATACATGTTATATATATATATATGTATAGAAGCACACACAAGTGTGGTGCCTACTTTACAGTGAAAAGTGGCCTCCTTCACAGACGCTGTGACACCAACAAAGCCCGACGGACTTTGAGAAAAATGAAAAAAAAAGAACACTGCCAGGCACACGCGCGCGTGTGTGTGTCTGTGTGTGTCTGTGTGTGTGTGTGCCTTCAACGTCTCTCGAGTGCCTTTAGCAGCCCGCCTCAGTGCCTACCGGCGTGCCTGTGCGTCAGCGAACGAGCGTGAAACCCGCCTTATCGTTAAGTGTTATTTGTATCATTATTGATTATTATTATTATTTACGAACTGTCGTCGTGTGCTGCGTGCAAAGCGTTAGGCGCAAGCGCACGTATTACACGCACACACACACATGCCTTTGCACACTTGCCTGCGTGGCACGCTTTATGTGGTGGTGGTGGTGGTGATGATGATGATTATGACACAGAGCACGCGCTGTAGATGAGTGCGGGTGACGGAGCAGCGAATGTTCACGCCGCTCCACTCCAGAACTCGTGGCGTGCGTCCTCCGCAGAGATTGGCAAAGCCCCCCCCCCCCGTCCCTCTCCCCGCCCCCCATATTTCCGTTCATTGGTTGAATGTGAAATTTGCAGTCGCGAGGAATAGCAGCGGCGGCCGCGAGAAAGTGATTCTGGATTCGCGTTCACCGTTGTGTGTTCTCGAGCACACCGAACGCGAGAGACAGCCTTGTGCCTTACACAACCGGCTCTTTCATTCCCACCCTCGAATCCTCCTCTCCCTTCATTAACGCACTCATTCAGTTCAGTCATGGTTTCGTTCTATCGCCATCATCCATCCGTCATCAACGACACTCCCTCTCATTCTGTCAATCTTACCTCCATTTCTACCCATCCCTCCATCTCTCCTTGGCATCATCATCATCGGCCTCGGCATCCTTCGATCCCTCTCTGCGTCCCCGTCACCACCATGCCCCAAACCGTCTGCAATCATCTTCGCTCTCTCCTTCTCTCCCTCCACCCCTTTCAGTCTTCATCGGAAAATCATTCCCAGCCTAAATCATATCCCCGCATTTACTCCCGGGCACCTTGTTTTAAACTCCCCCCCCCTACCCACCCTGCCCCCCCCCCATAAGTCTCCGTGCGTAGCTCGCGTTTCAATAGACAGGACGAATGTATACTACTGACTTAAAGATCACGGACGCACGTTTTGTAGCAACGAGGACACACGGCGACAAATGACACAGTATGCTTTTGCATCTTGCCTCCGCGCTGCCCGCTGTTGTTCTTCCATGACATTTGCAGCGGCCCGGATTTCTACCGGAATGTGCGCCCCTCTCTTGCGTGGGGTTGACGCGCTTGCGCCGCACAGCTCTCGAATGCGTTTTCGGAATGTGACCGCCAAGTCCGACGTTTCACTCCAGCACGCTGGGTGGGGTGGGGGTCATATTCTTAGGTTTTTTGGGTAAAGTCACGTAGGTAAAAAATTAAAATTAATGAAAGTAAAATAAAAATAAAATAAAATAAATACCTTGGCTCCTCCCACCCTCAACCAGTATATATACAAATTCTGTTTCTTGGAATTTCTCTCACTTGATACAGCTATCGTGCTGTGACGGTTCCACCTGAAGACGGAAGCTTGTGTTGCCTCTGAAACGTCGTGATTTTTATTTTACTTTTATAAATTTTAATTTTTTACCTACGTGACTTTACCGAAAAAACCTAAGAATATGAATCCTTGCAGTCACGAAAGCTTCAAATCTAGAATGGGGTGGGGGTGTTTCTTCTGGAACCGAATTGAGGTTGTGACAGAGAGAGAGAAAGAGAGACGCCCAGTAAACAGAATCAGAATCTTTATATTCTTGGTTCTTTCGGTAAAGTCACGTAGATAGAAAAAAAAACCACGACGCAACACAAGCGGTCTTCAAAACAGAATCAGAATCTCTATTAAGACTGGAGGAATCCGATGAGCAATGAAGCTCTTTTTCACAGATGTCCAGTAAATAACAGCAGCAGCAGCAGCGGCGGTGGCAGCCGGCAACGTTGTCTAGTTGAGGCAGAGAGTGAGCTGCTCAGTTCAGCTCCTGAAGAAGCTCCCAACGCGAGCGGAGTGAAACGTCGGACGTTATGCCGAACAACGCCACGGTACAACCGTAATGAACGAGAGAAAAACAACACGTCCGATTAGATTCGAAGCTTTCGTGACTGCAGGAATGACTCTTTGGTTCTTTCGGTAAAGTCAGGTAGAAAGAAAATAAATTTAATGATAATAGAATACGACGTTTCGATTGCAACACAAGCAACCATTATCAGGTACAAATGAATTGTGTGTCTCCGTGTCTATGTTTTGTCTCTCTCTCAAATTTAGCATTTTTTGGAAGAACGTAATCAACCAGGTGGGGTGTTGACTCTCAGTGTTGTATCGCATTATATTCCCAAGTTTACTATGTTTGTTTTCTCATTCGCATGTACCTGATAATGGTTGCTTGTGTTGCAATCGAAACGTCGTATTCTATTATTATTTTACTTATTTCTACGTGACTTCACCGAAAGAACCAAAGAGTAACACTTCGGATATTGTCTTCTTGTAGATTTCTTTTTTTTTTACTTAACGAAAAAAAAAACCGAGATGATCTCGCCTGAGTTTGTCCACGCGGTTCTTCCGTTGTTTGTTGTTGTTGTCAATTTGTTTTGGAGCCAAGTGTCGGCGTCACCGCGTAAGCGTCACCGTGTTTGCCGTCGAAACAAACTCCGCGAGAATAGAAGGAGGAGAAGCAGCGACCACAACAATAGCCGAAAGAAGATGCCTCGAGATGAGTGTGGTTGATGGACGAGAGATGAGAGGGGAGACAGCTCGAGAGACGTATTTATTGTTAATACGTGTGCCTGTCCCATATTCTGCTGCTGCTGCTGTTTGTTGTTGTTGTTGTTTAAAAATGCGCATTAACTGACACGTGCATTCGGCTACGGTGGAGGCCGGGCGGGGGTGAGGGCCGTGATGAAGCGAATGAACTCACACCCAGCGGACAACCCTGTCATTCCTTTGTTGGTCATTTCAAAGTAATGCAATCTCACATTGGTGGCGGGTGATGTCTGAAATGGTCTCCGATGCACCAATTCGCACCGACCAGCGTGGGCGAGGTACGGCCAAAGAATCAACAACCCCCCCATGATCGACGCGGCATGGGGGATCGCTTCACTTAGCAATGCATTCGTGTCGTTATACTCCAGTCAACCACCCATTCCAGACCCCCCCCCCCACCCCTTTCCCCACAATGGAACATTCCAAATGACGAGTGCCCACGTCCACAACACCCAGCCTCGTGGATTTTAGAATGTTCCATTTGGTGCAGGGGGGCCGGGGTCAGGCTGTGAGCTTTCCAATGTTTGGGTTTCTCGAGCCAGATGTATCAGACGTACTTGCCTCCGTGCTCTTCAGAACAAATGAGCGCGCCCTGCATTTTCTAAGGAGCTCGATGTCGCCACCACTGAGTGATGGTGACGATGATACTGATTATTATGATGATGATGATGATGACACCTAAACCTGTCACCTCCTTCGATTTAAACTTCTGGAAGATGCCTCATATTTATATGTGCAGTACAGTATTATAGTTGCATGGGTAACGTATCGCCCGCTATTACTAACCGTACGTTGCTACTATACAGAGTGTATATATAGGAGATTAACTTAAGTCCACCGACATGCAGTCTTGGAATAAACTCATTTTGTTCGTGGAGGCGACAATGTTCGAGGATTTATTTGTCAGAGGAGTGAGCATGGACCGAGAGATTTGCCGCTTCGCACCAAAGAGCCCAAGAACTCCACTCACACACATCCCCGCAACAACGAACGTGGAAAACATCAGAGGCACATACGCACCACGTGCCGTCCATAAATGACGTCACGCACCTGGGGGGGGGGGGGGGTCAGACATTTGTGACGATGTGTGACAAGGGGGGAGGGGGTTTGAGAAATGTGGCGTCACATCAAAATGCGCAACTTTTAAATAAAGAAAGACAACACGTTCTACTTAATTAAATAGACGTTTTAATTAATGTTTTCTCCAAAACTTCAGAGTGCAGAGCCACATTAAATACGCGCTGCAATGACAATATTTTAAAGCGATTTGAAGCATGTTTTATTTTTTTGGGGGGGGGGCAGGACTTTGTGACGTCATATTTGAGGGGGGGGGTCTGACTTTTTGTGACGCCTTGTGACGAAGGGAGGGGAGCGTGGGGTCAAAAATAGTCCAAAATCGCGTGACGTCATTTATGGACGGCCCCTAAACATCAATTCGTCGTTAAACCCCCTTAGTACGGTATGTCAAGCAAACAAGACGCGCCGGGTTGGTTACTAGTTCAGCACGACGGCGTGTAGGAGAGGAAAAACACATCATGTGCAATTCAAGCACGACGTTTTGATGCTGGTTACAACCAGCTTCATCAGGCGATAACCATAATTGCAACACTAAAGCCATCCTGTGTTTCGGTCTTAAACCACATCCACACCACAAAGATCACCCCTCTCCCCCCTTAACACAATCTTGTCGAAACTACTATTAGCGAGCACCTATGAAGGGAAATACGGCATAAGAGGGGGTGGGTAGCTACTACCAGGCCCGTCCGTTTTTGTCTCCCCACTGCTAATGTTTACACATCGCACCGGGTAATCGTTTGAGGCTGAGTCGACCTAGGGGAGGCCCAGGACCGGTTCAGATATTCGTCACCGGTGTTGGCCGGGTTCGTAGCGCAGGCTGCTAAAAACTGCGCCACCACTGCCTACTACATATACACTGTGCACACACACACACCACAAACACTCCACCTTCATCCATAAATATACACCACAAACAGGCTGCAACCACATCACAGACGTGCCGCATACAAAGGGTTTTACCACAGGCACACCACAATCACATATCGCATGTAACGCGAGAGTCAAACAAACACACACCCCCCTCCCATGCACACCATTACAGCTACAACACATACACAGTCACGCCATGTGTACATCACAACCAACATAAATAGACACCACAAACACTCCACCTTGATCCATAAATATACACCATAAACACTTCATCTTGATCCATAAATATACACCACAAACACTCCATCTTGATCCGTAAATATACACCACAAACACTCCACCTTGATCCATAAATATACACCACAAAAACTCCACCTTGATCCATAAATATACACCACAAACACTCCACCTTCATCCATAAATAGACACCACATACACTCCACCTTGATCCATAAATATACACCACAAACACTCCACCTTCATCCATAAATAGACACCACATACACTCCACCTTGATCCGTAAATATACACCACAAACACTCCACCTTCATCCATAATAGAGGTTTGTTTGGGTTAGATCGCGTAAATATATAAATGTGTCGTTAAAACCCACCGTCACCCGACACAGCCAACTAGTAAGGGTTGTCACGTAAACAGAACGTGGCCAATTCGTCACAAGTACAGCACACCGGTGTGTTGGGAGAGCAAATCCACAACATTTACAATCTAAGTGCGGCGTTCCGCCAGTAATTGCAACCGGCGTCATCAGGCGGTTAGCTATGAAGCCCTGTATTATTATATTATGGATGATATTGGTCGCGAAAGCCTACGGTGTTAAACTCCACCTTCACTCACGATCTTACGTCTGACACAGTTGGTCTAGGTCTGGTTGTCAAACCAAATTGTTATTTCCAGGGTGAGACTTAAGTTTGCGTGGGCAGCGGTAGCATAGTGGTTAGCGCACTGCGTAATGAAACCCGCCAGCCTGGGTTCGATCACTGGCCATGGCTAACATCAGTGGCGGGTGCTCTCTGAACACGGACCTCAGGTATGTTGACTCAGCCTAAGGTAAAGTGCAGCGTTGCGGTGTGTAAAACTCAGCATTCGGGAGACAAAGGCGGCCCTCTGTGGCCTTGTCGACACCAGCCCGCCGTGCGTGCTCTGCCAGCCTTAATAGGTGCCCCGCTAGCAGCACTTGCCCCGACATTTTATGTCGGCTTTCTTTTGGGGAGGGGTATCTTTGTCTTTGTGCGTCGACAGAGAGAAAGTGTTGAATGGGGGCAGAACGTGCGTGTGATTTATCGGTGCTTTACTGAGCGCGGCAATGGCCCATCGAGAGGGCTTTAGGGTCGTCCTTCGCACTTTCGGTCCTGTGACGGGGTCCCTGACCCTCGGGTTCACTATCGCTGAGTCCGTGCGTGGCGATAACGCTGCGTGGCCAGGCGTTACAGCCATCCCACCGTCACCTTCAACTAAACTATTTATATTTTACCAGGTAAGGCCCATTAAGCTACACAGCTCTTTTTTAGAAGCGACTTGGCCATAAATACTAGCTCGACGAAGTGGCTCATCACGTGGAAATTTATAGCAGCCATATACACTCTAAGTACATGTTTTCAAATGTGGAGGGAAAACCCGAAGGACCCGGAGTAAAATCCACGCGACCACGGGGAGAACACGCAAATTCCAAATATACAGCTGGCGTCTGGGTCAGGATCGAACGCACGACCTCCTGTATACCAGGCAAGGTCGTTAATATCTCACCACAGTCACGAGCCACATGTACATGCTCGTTTCGTGACTGCAGACATTGCATTTCGTGACTGTAGACATTGAGGTCAAAGGTCAAAGGATGGCTCCCTACTCATAAACCACGTAGTGTACGCAGATTACTTGCTAAATTGCTGCTCACTCTGAGCAGGAGTTGCTCTTGCTGAACCTGGAGCGTACCCCGAAGAGGCGAGGCATTACCATCAGCCCCACCAAAACAAAGCACCTACCTGGGACACCGCATCATGAACTCAAAATCCTGGGTTCGACTCCCGATTCCTGGCAGCATGTCACTCCATAAACAACAAGAGATCGCGAATATGCAAAGCCTGCATCACGCGCACACGTTTCTGTCCCAAACACTCGGAACTTGCCCTTGTCATTATCAGCAGCAGACTTTGGTCTATCTTCTGCCGGATGCGGACCTCCCAAAGTAGTCGCCATCTCTCACGGTTCTGCGATGCAATAATCCAGCGATGACCTGCAACACGATCTGATTTCATCCCTCCATCTCCACGGCGGTCGTACCGTCCTGTCGGGTGCGTCACCGATGTAAACTGTCGAGGAAGACGAGCCAGACACATCGTCCACTCGCCTCCGTCCAAGTTGACCCCTAATTACGTTTCCCTCGTCTTTCTCTCTCGCTCTGTCTCCACGCTGCTTGATGTCACATTCCGAAGCGCGATTGTTTTGCCTCTGCAGCGCTTGGCAAATGTGTGCACATCGCGTGGTATTTTCCCCGAATGGCGGAGATACACTGTGGATATAACGGACGTAATGATCAACAACATCAACTCAATGCATTCGTCAACAATGATGCCTTATTTTTTTTTCAAGTATACAAGAGGCAACGTTTCAGGCAACGGCCCTTCCTCACAGCACAACGGCTCGCGGTTCCCCACGAACGCGTTCACGAACCCCACTTACTGCGCTGACCGGTGCGTGGTTTTGGGCTTTCACAAATCTCTGCGTGACCCACCAACCCTTTGCGTCACGAGGTTACAAATAGGCCGTGGCAGACGTGATAAGTCGACAGGGAGACGATGACTGAACGCAACGGGAACAGTAGGGAGTAATTCATCCACGTGCGACTTCGGCCTCATTGTTCTTTATTGGATGATGTTTGTTGAAGCGGTCGAGAGAGATACACTGTGGATACAATGACCTTAAGACCGAAACAGGATGATTTCTCCACAATTGTGTCTATCGCCTGATGAGGCTGGTGGTAATTACCGGCGAAAGATCGTACTCGTATTGTAAATGTTGTGGGTTTACTCTCCAACACACCGGTGGTGCTGAACTAGTAACGACTTGGCAAGTTTTGTTTACGTGACGAATTGGCTGTTGGGTGGTGGCGGATTTAACGACACATTCGTGTTTATGCGATGTAATCAGAAAAAAAAACATGTATTGTGGATTATATTGGTTGCGAAAGCCCTACGACTACGTGTTACACTCATTGTAATGTAGTTGAACGGTGGATTGTTAATGGGTGGTGGTGGTGGTGGTGATTTATACCCAGTGGACATTCTCTTCCAATGTGAGTAGACGGGTGAGAACGGGAGAAGTTGTGTTAAGTTGGGTGTGCATGCATTTCAAAGAGAATGCAATATTGCACCGATATTTAATCAAGGCCACTCCCAGATCGGTATTTGAGGGCTGAAAAGAAAATGATGCGAGGCTCAGTCGAGAGGAAGCCCGACAGAGGAGTAGCAGCTGCTACACGCGGATGCACCTCCGATTTGCACGATTGGCTACGTACGGTGCGAAAGAAGTTAAACGCGAATGCATACACGTCAGCAAGCTATTGTTGTAAGAAACTTAGTGCGCTACACGTAAAATACGGCGCTCGTGGCGACGTTTCGGTAGGAAGGTGGAGGCCGACTGCTCCGTGTCTCCTCGGACCCCAGAGCGTACGCGGTTTAATGAGGGTAACGAGGGGAGATTTGATTGGAATGGCGAGTGAGTGAATTAGAGGGAAGGGAATATTTCGTGAAATTCTAGGGGGCCATAATCCACACACAGCCTTGTGGGTGCAGGGGTGAGGGATAGACAATGGACTTTCACAACGAGGTATGCGCGATATTGGAGGTTGAAGATCCAGGTGCGACACAAGGCTCCCAGTCGCCCAGGCGCGAGCAACACGGCTGTCGGCAAGGTGCTGGTGGTGGTGGTGCTGGTGGTGGTGGTGCTGGTGGTGCTGGTGG